GGGCTGTCTTACAGACCTTCTTCTTGTTTCTCGAAACACGATGACAAGCATCTGACGGCCTTTGTCCGGTGGGGTTGGCAGGTGATCTCTCAGATTTTGGGATGAGAGCTTGAAGTCCCTGATTGGCTGGTCCTGTGATTCTTGGCACTGATAGAATCCAAGCAGGTACCTGCTTGTCGGTTCTGCACACACTGCTCTGGGCTACAGAAATGACTCGGTTTCCTCTCCTGCCTCCCACCTTGGCTCACCGCAGAGACCTGAGGGTGCCCTGGTGTCTGCACCATCAGCAGGGTGAGCTTTCCTCCGAAAGCTCTTGGTCTCTGGGCCCCTTTGCCAACACTTAACAAAGGGAGTCTGGTAGCCATTGAAAATAAACAGCAACCGCACAAGTCTGGCCTCTTAAGAAATCGTCTGTGATGTTCCCTGCCCCGTGTCACAGATTCTAAGATCTCTATCGCTTCCTTGTGTTCGGAAACCAGACTCCAGCTCATCTCGGTTCAGACACGTGCTTTGTACGCAATGACCTACATTGTGCGGCTGTGGAGGTGGAAGGGAGAGTTTGAGAAACCAACTTAAGAGAGGGAGTAGGAGTGATAGGATCTTTGATGTGCTGTGGCTGGACTGCTTTCCTTCTGCCTTGATCTTTTGCTTTGTAAGGGTGACAGCCTTTGGGATGCTGTACTCCGGGCAGCGTCGCTGGATGAGTGCAGATGTGCAGAGCCACTTGGCTGCCCTGCGGACCGACGCACGGAGCCTCTGGTCTCCCTCATGAAGTCATCTCCTCCCGCTGCTGCCCAGCCTCTCCCATCACTCCATGTTGGAACTTGGCCTTGTCTTGCATAGTTCTGTCATGATGTAGATGGTCTTCCAGTTAAGTTCTGGAGAAATCTGCCCGACCTTGAACGGGACGTTTACAGCAAAGAAGAGAACTATTTTATTGAGACACTTTTGACTGTAACATTTTGCCTTAGGAGTTGGGGAACAAAGGCTCAGGACCTGATTTCTGGGAAAAACCCAACTTTCGTGGCTTTCTAAGGATATTACCTGTGTTTTGTTTATCCGAGTAAATTAGGTGCTTCAAGTGAGACTGCAGTAAGATTGTCACCTTCACCTTGCCTTTTGCAGGATTCCTTTTGATTTGTTTATGTATTTTTTTTAAAGATTTATTTATTTACTTGAAATTCAGAGTTACAAAGAGAAGAGGGAGGGAGGCAGAGAGAGTGAGTGAGAGAGAGCACTTCTATCCACAGATTCACTGCCCGGATATATGGCTAACATGGCCTCGGCTGGGCCAGACTAAAGCCAAAAGCTTCATCCTGGTCTCCCACATGGTCAGCAGGGACCCAAACTCTTGGGCCATCTTCCTGTGCTTTTCCCAGCCCGTTCGTAAAGAGCTGGATCGCAAGTGGCACAACAGAGCCTTGAAGCAGTGCCCATGTGATACGCCAGTGTCTAAGGTAGAAGCTTTACCCACTAGACCAAAACGCCCAGGAAGACAACAAAGACTTCATATCCTTCTGCATTTCCTAGAAAGCTAAAGAGGAAGCGAGGGCTTGGATAGTATGTCTGTCTCTGCTCTGTACTTGTTTTCTGGTGCAGTCTCAGAGCGGGCGTCTCCTGTCCAGCGTCTCTGGAAGCCAGCGTAGGTGCGATTTTAGTCTGCGGCATTCTCTCACCTTCTCTCTAGAGAACGCTTTGCTTCGTGTGCTTAGGAGCAGGCCCATCAAAGAACTGAAACGTGAACTCTGTTTTCTTGTTGGGGACAGGACTGGCATCTTGTCAACCCCAACACAACAGGTGAACACTGCACCTGATCCATAAAAAAGGAGAAAGCTGAAATGCGATGCCACGGGCCTCAGGTGGAGGTTCAGATGCAGCTCATGAAATCCCCTGGAGGCTTGCCTGCCTTCTACACCTTTCTGCTCCAAGTCCTTGGCCGGCTGCCGCTGAGCCCGGCCAAGTCCCCAACACAAGATCAAGCAAGGAAGTGAGGCACACAGTTTCTGGCTTCTGGTTTCCTGTGGATACCAGCTCTAGAAATGAAGGGCTCACTTTCCCTGTAGGTGTGATGTTGATGTTTACGTAAGGAACATTCTGGTACAAGGGCTTGACTCGGAGGGGGGACTCTCGGAATGAGATTTTAATTATGGCTTGATTCGGACTTGAATGTAAGCTATCAAAGTGGCAAAAATGTTTTCCCCATTTAAAAACTTCTGACTGTTTTATCAGACCTCGGAATAACAACAGCGCTCTCATCTTCTCTGATGAAAGAAAGGAAGGAAGAAAGGGAGGGAGGAGTGGAAGCACAGGAAAAAAGAAAAAGGGCCAGCTCTGCAGCGCATGGGAGTGATGACTGTCGATGGCATCCTGTAGCCTCCGTGCGCTGTGTCCGTCACAGACCCGGTGTGCTTCCCTTGTCCTTTCTCGTCTTTATTATGGATCCTAAGGGAGGAATCTCTGCTCTGAGGAAGACAGCAGGTGCTTAGGGGCTCTCAGTACATTTTTGGTGATTGGACAACCTGAGGAAGTGGTTACTATTCTAAATAGTAACAAGTCAAAGAAGAGAAAGGTAGGTGACGTAGAGCTTTTCTGCATTGTCCACATTCTTGGTTAGGCCAGAGCAAATGGCTTTACCCTCGGGATAATGTCGAGGACTTGGGAAAGAGTAGGGGCTGAGTCTTACAGACATTCTTCTTGTTTCTCGAAACAGGATGATGAGTATCTGACGCCTTTGACCATTGGGGTTGGCAGGTGATCTCTCAGATTTTGGGATGAGAGCATGAAGTCCCTGATTGGCTGGTCCTGTGATTCTTGGCACTGATAGAATCCAAGCAGGTGCCTGCTTGTTGGTTCTGCACACACTGCTCTGGGCTACAGAAATGGATGATAATGTCATGTCAAGGACTTGGGAGACTGGGGACACGCCTTGGGCAAGATAAAGAAAAGCATGTCAGGATAGCAGGAGTATCCGACCCACAACTCGCTGTCCTGCTCATCGTGCACAAGGTGCTATTATTTACAGCAAATGCTAAGCACTAACATTTCCTGTTATTAATCTTTTTGTCACTTGTGTCTGCACTAATTCTTGTTGGTAGAAGTGTTTTACTTTCTATTATGAAGGGAAAGTAGTTCAGTGGAGAGATAATAAGCTTTTCAGATGGGCAGATCTGGCACTTACAAAATGGCCTAGGACAAGTCACCTAAATTCTTTCGAAACTCAGGTTGACTCAGATTTAAGGACGAGATAATAGCATATATCTTGGAGCATGTCAGACGGAAGTCTGCCCAGAGCATACGTTTCACAGGAGACTGATTTTTTTCATATTTCTCCCTTCTGGGCCAAACCATCTGGAATACAAGTTGCTATGAGAAGTTCTGAAGAGATCCCTGGCCCCAGGGGTCAAGAGTTGCATTCTTAGAACAGCCCTGCTGTGGATCGCGTGACCTTGGGAATGTCACTTTCTGGGCCTTCACGTGTTAAATGTGCAGCTTAGAATCTGATTCTGCTCTATGCTTCAGATATTCTAAATATTAAATAGAGCAGATTTTCAGTGTTAGGACAATGTCAGTGTACGAAGAACTAATAACTCCTCGCAAAAACAAATTGATTTCACACAATATGATTAAGTCATGTCATTCATCTTAGTTAAGCTGATAAACACAAAAGGACACAGAAAAGGCACATTTAAAAAAAAGATTTATTTATTTGAAAGTCAGAGTTACACAGAGAGAGAGGGAGAGGGAGAGAGAGAGAGAGAGAGAGGTCTTCCATCCGCTGGTTCACTCCCCAATTGGCTGCCATGGCCCAGAACTGTGCTGATCTGAATCAGGAGCCAGGAGCTTCCTCCGGGTCTCCCACGTGAGTGCAGGGGCCTAAGGACTTGGGCCATCTTCTACTGGAAAAGGCACATTTTGAGAATTAAGATTGTCCTAAAATCTGTGATCTAGCTGAAGGCACGTGATTAAGTGGAGTCCAGGTTGCTAAGATTATCAACATGTGCGCTTAAGCCAAAGTGACCAAACATACTAGGAGTGAAAAATGGACTTTGTCCTTTAAACACTTCTCTGTGCTTGATGCTGTTTTTCGTGGAGAGCCTTCGGAGAGAGGAATCATAGGGCCATCTGCACACCTCCCGTCAATTACGGTACCCACAGCGCAATACGGACTAGGCGTCTTGGACTTACTCTGTTCCTGTTGCATCAACTCATACTTGCCTTCAAAAAGGAAAACCCAACTCCTCTTCTCTTATGGCAGAAACCTTTTGTGTCAACTAGTTGACCCTTGGCTCTGGAATACAATGCTGGGGACCCTTGCCTGCTTAGCTGCTGTTTACACAGTGGGGGTGAGCCCGGGAAAGAATAACTCGCTGGAGTTCCTGAGGTCCTTTTCCTGACAGCAGGAGAGGCGACTGGCACATCCAAGAGTCTCCGGTACTCAGAAAAATTACCAAGCACTCCACTCTAAGGGACCCTGTAGAAGGCAGGGCAAAGGCGGGGGAGAAAGCAGAGTGTGGATTTGTGTGGACTGCGGTGGGTTTGAGGCAGGGGGAGACTGCCACAGGGGATTTGTGGGGGGGGGGGTGCGGATTTCCTTTCCAGCCTTTATTTTTATTTTTTTTAAACTGGGGTCTTTGTGGATTGTGCACTGTGATGCCAGGCCCCCTGTGGGGCAGTTCCCTGGGAGGGCGGGCTGGGGGTGGGGGAGTCTTCCCCTTTCCCTGCGGGTCTCAGGAGGAGCTCCTTTTGTTTTGTTTTGTTTTCTCCTTGTGTCTCTTCCAGGTTGGCAGAGCGGTGAGCCTGACACTTCCCAGGGATGGGACAGGCAGGCTGTGCGCGCGCGCAAAGGCACTGTAACCAAGTTCGTGGCTCCCCCGCCCCCGCCCCCCCTTCCTGAGTTTCCTGTGCTTCCAAGCATTGCGCGCCCGGGCCGGCCCCTCACCGGCTGGCCTGGGGGCTCCGGTCCCCTAATCCCTAGCGGGCCTCCCTGGGCAAGGTGGGGAGGGGGCGCTTGGCCGCTTCTTGCGGCGCGCGGGAGATGCTGCGCACAGGGTGGCCGGCCCGGGAGCGCGCTGTCCCCAAGCCCATTGGTACTTCTGGTGGGGGAAGAAACGCCGGGCGGTGGGAGTGCCGGGGCGGAGGCAGGCGGTCCCTACCGCAGGCGCGCGGGGTGCTGCCTTTCCGCCCCTCCGCCCCGCTCTCCAGCGCTGGCTCCTAGGAGTGGCTGAGGCAGCCGAGCGCTTCTGGAAGCTGAATGAACCCTCCTCCTCTCCCTCCTCCTCTCCCTCCTCCTCCTCCTTCTCCTCCTCCGCGCCCAGTCTCCTCCTCGGTGCTGACGGTACAGTGATATAATGATGATGGGTGTCACAACCCGCATTTGAACTTGCAGGCGAGCTGCCCCGAGCCTTTCTGGGCGAAGAACTGCAGGCGTGCGTGCGCACCCGCCGCGAGCCCCGGTGCGGGGGACACAGGCGCTGGCACCAAGACCCGCGGCCAGCCCCGCATTCTCCCTCGTCGCCGTGCACCTCCGCACTGGTCCACAGGCCACCACGCTTCCTATGTGACCCGCCCGAGCAACGCCGAGCCCCTTCGCGCAGCGCCGCCGCGGTGAATTTCCCCCCTAAACTGCATTACGCCTCCTTTGAAGGTAATGTTTCTTTTGTTCCCTCTTAAAAAAAAAAAAAAAAAACTTAGAGCAAAACCCCCAGGAGTTTGGGGAAAAAGAAGTGCACTGCAGTTGGTGCAAGGCTTTCATTAAGGCTAAGAGAAGCTGCAAGACGAAGTTAGGAACACGCGTGCGCTTAAAGAAAATGCAGGTAACTTTCGGAGGGGGCTTGTGGAGCGAGCCTGCTCACACGGACCCAGACAAAAGAAGCCCGAGGTGGGTGGGGGGAGCCGGAGGAACTGAGTCGGGGGGCAGGGGAGGCAGGGAGCCCGAGCGAATCCTAGAAAGTCGGGGGTCCTACGCTGCAAGGAGAGAGGCACCCCTGGACTGTGGGTGTTTTTGTTAACCTGCTTGAGGCAGAAGTTTGAATGGGCACTCCGCAGCAGGCCACCTGGCTTGCTCGTCCCCCTACCCCCGCCCCTGTGGTCAGTGCGGGGCGTTCCTGGAAAGCCGCTCGCTCGCGGGCAGCTCCTGACAGTGCGCCCCTTCCCCGCGGCTGTCGGGCCCTGACCCCTCCGGCCCGCGGGCAGCGCGAGGGGAGGTCCAGCCGGGGAGGCGCACGGGGCCCTTGGGCCGCGTCGTTCCGGGGACCTGGTGGCTGTCACGGCTCTGTCCCGGCGCCTCGGGTTCTTTTGTCCTGTGCGCTCTAGCAGGGGAGGGGGGTGGGGTTGTCTGAGCTCCGCGGAGGTCCTGGGCGGGAAAGGCTGGCCCTAGCCCAGAGGCGATGTGCAGGAAGTGTTTTGTCGACCCAAGAGCGGAACGGGGCCGCAGCTGGGTGTCCGCCGCAAAGCGGAGCCCAGAGCACTCTCCAGACAAAGGTGGCGCGGGCCTCCGGTCCAGTCCCGTTGCCCGGACCCAGGCTGTCCCTGGTTCCCTTCCGTGTCCTCACCCCCTCCCAGGGCTCTGCTCCAGTTGAGCAACTTTACTGGCGACCGAGCAGTCGCCAGAGTGTGCGCAGGGGTCTCGGGGGACGCGCGGGGCTGGAGAGTGCCACGGGCCCTCTCGGGGAAGCGGGCGCCACGGAGCGCATGGACCACGGCGTCCGTCCGCAACGTGTGTCATTGGGCGTGGAGCGGTCAGGGTGCTGGGCGGCGGAGAGCGGGGTAGACAAGGGTGTCAGAGCCGCAAGTATTTGCTCCGGGATCGAGCTGCGCCGGGGCGAGACCTGCACGCCCGCGGGAGGGCGGCGCGGGCTGCGGGACGCTCGCACCCGCTACAATGCCGCTGCCTGTGCCCCGGCTCTGGTCTCACACTGGAGTCCCCCTCTCTCCGTCTCCATCTTCTCTGCCTCCCGGCCCCTCTGGCTGCGCCCCCTCCCCCACGCTGACAAATGAATGGCTGGGGTGGGATCCCGGCCTTCCCGGGGCGCGGAGGAGGGCGGAGCGAGGGAGGCGGTGCGCTCCCTCGGATCTGCCCCGCGCCGGGGGCTGCGGTCTGCGGAGCCCAGATGTCTAGGAACGCGGCGCTTTGCTGCGGGTGTGGGCGCCCCCTGACGGAGAAGCCCCGCGCAGGTGGAGGCAAAGGAGCGAACGGCTTTCCCCACTACTCGGTGCTCCAGGGCGGGAGGCCCCAGCTGCCTCTTTGGTCCTTAGGCTGCCCGGGTCCGGGTGTTAACCTAGGGGCCTGCAGAGACAGGAACCTGGTACGAAGCGCAGCGGTGGCGCCTGCTGGAGAACCAGGGCGCGAGCGCTGCTGCTTGGGTGGGGGAGCGCACGTGGCCCCGGGCACTGCCAGGTTTGGGGCGTAGGGGGGCCTTGACGCGCAGTCTTGTGCGTCTGTAGGAGAGGTCACCCAGAATTGCGTCACTTTCCCAAGTTGTACCGAAGCCCACGGTCGGTCGCTGGAACCCAGGACTAGGGCCCCGCCCCCAAGGCCATTGCAAAATAAGGGCCCCCGAATCAATGGCCGAACTTCCTAAAGTGCAGGACTCCAGCCCGGGCGAGGCGGGCTCCGGGGAGGAAAGGGGACGGGGCTGGAGCACTTGTCACGCAGCTGGGAGGCGAGCCTAGGGTCGCCGCTGGACCTCAATTCCCGTTTGGAGATGTCCTAGGGCCCTCAGTAGGGAGAACCGAGGCGCCCGGGGTGGCGAGGGCGAGTCCAGGCAGGGAAGGTGCTAAGGCACCAAGGGGCTCCAGGCCCGGCCGCCCCCAAACGCGGCGGGGTTCAGCGGCCGCCACGTGGGCCCAGCGTCAGCTCTGGGTGTGCCTTCCCGGGCTCCAAGACAGGGGCAGAGCTGCCGGGGTCCCCGCCTGCCCGAGCAGGGGGCTGGAACGGGGCAGGGCGGGGCCGGGGCGGGGCCAAGCTGGGGCGGCGCCGCACACCCTGCCGCGGGAGCCCGCAGCTCCGGGGGCGGACCCTACTCCTATTAAAAGGCTGTCTCGGTTTTTTTTTCGGAGTGGTAGGAAGGATGTAGGGTTTTTGCCTTGAGGCGGAGGAAGTAGAAATTTAGTCCAGTGAAACTTTTTTTTTAAGTAAAAAGATGAGATGAGTGTATCCTGTACTCCATAGATTGACAATTGAAATGCCTTTAGGTCCGTCGCAGACCATTTTTTTTTTTAAGTCAGTTACAAGCTTGGTCAAGTTCCAGACTGTCACAGAGTGCATCTCGAATGGCGAAAGATTTGCCTTGGGCAGGACTAAGGGGAATGTGTGTGGGGTTCCAGGGTGTCAGCCGCCCCTAAGCAGAGCTCAGCACGTGCAGCCCATAGGCCTGGATTTGTGCGGCCATATGCCCCCACCCACTGCTCTTTATAGAGCTGCTTTTCAATTCTTCTGCCATTAGTTTTGCTTTTTAAAAGATTTGCTTATTTATTTGAAAGAGATTTTCCATCGGTTGGTTCACTCCCTAGATGCCCCTCAGCAGTTGGGGCTGGGTCAGGCATCTCAGTCCTGGCCCCCACGTGGGTGGCAGAGGCCCCAGGACTGGAGCCATCACTACTGCCTTGCAGAGTGGGCGTTCGCAGGAAGCTGGACTGAAAGCTACACGCCTGGATCCCAGGAAATCCCATCTGGGAGGACGTGGTCCTCCCAGGCTTCGGCTTCACCTGCTGTGACCCATCACCTGCCCTTAATCCTCCAGCGTCTTTGCTTTGTCTTAGAAGAACTGAGATTTAATGAACTCTCTGTCACCTCACATGGATCCATTCTTCCTTTTTTTCTGTCTCCTTGTAAAAACTGTGATATAAACTATTGTAAAATATTGCTTGGCAATTGTGCAAAACCAAGTGTGGAAACATTCACGTAAAGTTCTAAAATAGGATGTTGTGAGTTTAATATCCAATTAGGGGATTGGAGGCAGCGTTGGGCATGGTATGGAGTTCTCGTCCCCACTCTGCCCTGGATCCCAGTGTCCCGCTAGTGTGCACCCTGGGAGACAGTAGGCGATGGCTCCATACTTGGGACCTTGTCATCCACCTGGGAGATCTGGATGGAGTTTCAGGTTCTTGGCTTCATCTTGGCCCAGCCTCAGCTTTGGGGAGGCATGTGGGGAGGGTATCAGCAGGTAGGAGACATCTCTAGCTCTAGCTCTCTCACCCTGCCTTTCAAATAAATAAATGTTTACAAAATTTGCAGATTAAAAGCACCAAAGAAAGCAACAGTTCGGTTCCTGAGGTAGTATCCGTCCCCACTCGGGAGAAAATGGAACTGCAATTATTAGGGCAATATGTCAAGCTTTCAAAGGGTCTGGCTTCAGAGTTATGGATACAGAAATAGTTTTTGAATGGATGTTCATGTCCCCACTACTCCTGCAAAGGGTCCCCATGGAGTGACTGAAAAATGACTTCCTCTAGCAGGAAGTCCACAGTCCTTAATCTTTTGGGTGGTAGGAAGAGGTACAGGCTTCTTTATCTCTGTGCACGCACACGGGAGCCAGCTGCATCTGGTGTCCCGGGCTGCCTGCGTGTGTACGCTGCCCAGTTCTGTTTGAGCTGCATCTACAAAGCTAACTCAGAGCTGTGTATGATCAAGGTTAAGGATGCACCACTTGCTCTTGCTTTCCTAGCAGTGCTGTGCTTCTGTGCCTGGTGGTCACAGCTCCTGAGCAAGACGGTAACTCTGTCTCCCACAGTCTTATCACTAAGCTCACTTTTCCTGGTGGGGTTTAAACAAGCTTGTGGACCTCATTCACGGATCAATGCTGTTAGACAGCGGATGTGAGTGGTGCATAGCCCTGCGAGGCGGCAGACCCGCTCAGGGCACGTGCTTCTTGGGAGGGGAAGAATGAAGTGCGTTTCCACAGCACCTCCTGGGGGAGTGGCTCACGCTCACTGTGGCGGACGCTGGCTGTGGTCTGGGACAATGTGCCGATTGCCGTGTGGGTCTGAACTTGACCAGAAAACACAAAGCGCGTACTCTCTCTGATTTGAAATCAGAACAGGGGCAAGCAGAGAGAAACGTCTTGGCCAAGCGCCACTCGGCTTAGTGGAGTGTTTCCCCTTAAACTCTTGTGTTCTAGACTTGGAAAATCATATACGTTACATGCATTTCTGGGTTTGTAGATACTGCTAAGAAAAGTTCTTACCACTGAATGTGGCAGCAGTGGTTACATTTCACTGGTCAGTACAAAGAATCCTTGTGCACTGTGTTTGCCAGTTACGGTTCCTGGAACTCCTCTAGATAGATCTGTCATTTACAAAAGGCACAGATGTAGGTCTGTGTTTACGTTTATTTCCATCTCTGTCTGCAGACATCCTACTTCATTCTTTTCAGAATTTTCAGAGATGTTTATGTTAATAAACTTAGATTATATACAATAACTTACATGCAATAAATCACAGAATAAGTGATATTTATCATCTTTTTAATATAAAATGATTGATTGACTATTACCCCAGGCACAGTAGAATAAGAACTAAGCTTAGAACCAGCAAGTTTGAGTTGTGACTCACTGGCTGGAATAGTCAAGTTGAGACACAACTTCTGGACTTTTAGTCATAATCTGTGAAGTGAATACATAGCCACAAAGACCAAAAGAAAAAGATCTATGAAAAGGCTCTGGAAAATGGAAAACTACCCAACTGACTGATGTTCATGTATTCATATCAGTTTAATTCTGTAATCTTAATAGTAGCATCACAATCTAAAGCATGTCCAGGTGGTTCCTCCTGAATCTATAAAATGAGTTAGAGATGAGCATGTTTTCTGATTGTCTACTTTCATTGAATAGAAGACAGGATCCAGAAATAGACTCAATGGCAATGGACATTCAGTAGAAAAAGAAGGATTATTAAATAGTTTGGAAACGACTGGTGGGGATCAACTCAAAATAGGAATTAATCTTGGGTCTGTGCTGTGGTGTAGGGGGTTAAGCTGCTGGCTGGGATGCTGGCATCCCATGTGGGAGCAGGTTCAAATGTGGCTGCTCCCTCCCTTTTTTTTTTTTTTTTAAGATTTGCTTATTTATTTATGTATTTGAAAGGCAGAGTTACAGAGAGGCAGAGGCAGAGAGAGAGAGAGAGCGGGAATCTTCCACTCGCTGGCTCACTCCCCAAATGGCTACAATGGCTGGAGCTGGACCAATCTGAAGCCAGGAGCTGGGAACTTCTTCCTAGTCTCCCATATGGTTGCAGGGGCCTAAGGACTTGGACCAGCTTGCACTGCTTTCCCAGGCCATAGCAGAGAGCTGGATTGGAAGTGGAGCAGCTGGAACTGGGACCGGTGGCCATATGGGATGCTGGCGCGGCAGGCAGCGGCTCTTTCTGCTATGCCACAGCACTGGCCTGTGCTCTGCTTCTGATACAGCTCCCTGCTGATGTGCCTGAGAAAGCGGTGGCAGATGGCTCAGTATTTGGGCCCCTGTACCCCTGTGAGAGACCTGGAAGAAGCTCCTGGCTTGTGGCTTCAACCTGGCCCAGCCCCTACCATTGTGGCCATTTGGGGAGTGAACCAGCTAGTGGAAGATCTCTCTGTCTCTTCTTCTTTCTCTCTTTCTGTGACTCTTCTTTCAAATTAATAAAATCTGTCTTTTTTTTACGAGTTAATCTCCACTTCATTTCTCATCCTAAAGGAAATTTAAGATGAATCAAATATGAAATGTAGAGATTATTTTTAATGACTAGAGGAAATTATAAGCTTTTAAAAAATAAGCTAAGCGTAGAGAGATCTGTTCTGAGCAAAGCATAAAACCCAATAGCAGCCATATCAGAAAATATTGATAAGCCTGACTGATTGACAACACTGTCTACACAAAAATAGCACATTTCAAAAATATTTACAACCTATGAGAGACAAAGATCTAATAACACTTTAAAATGTATTTGTTTT